TCTCTCTCTCTCTCTCTCGTGACGGCACGTACAACCGCGATGTCGCACCTGTTCGAATGGAGTTCGAATGAAAACAGACTGAAGATGTCGTTTACGATAGATTGGAATCGTGATTTTGGATCTCTCCTTTATTGCTCGTTTGTTTTTATTCGAAGCACTCGTACTATTGTATTGTAAATATACTTTCGTATTATCATTTAGTTAAAATGAAAACAAAATAGAGTGTATTAGATCGAATGTATTGCGTCAATGATAAGGAAAAAATTGCAGGTTTGGTAATCTTTGCTTGCCTAATTTATTGCCGAATTAATTTCGAGTAAGATAAATCGATTATTTGAAAGAAATGAATATATTTCATATGACGATAAGTGTAAATTCTCGAATACTGTTTCACTTGATGAACTGTTTATCTCGAATGGCTCGAAGTGTAGCTAAAATTACGCGAGACGAAATTGCGAGGCAATAAGATTAAATTAAACTTGCGTCACGGATATATATTTTCATCTCTGTCGCGTAGTAGCACGATTCATAGCGTTTTCTATTTACTCGCGGATACCTCTACTTCCATCGAATTAACTCGCTAGGCTAATAGTCGTGGAAAATAGACCGTGGACCGTAGATTTTCCCGAATGATGTTCGGGTGTAACCCCTCCAGGTTCACGCTGCAATTGTAATGGCTACACCCTCGGTGCAATCAATCGCCAATGTTTCCTGGGGTTGTGGAAACATCGTCTTTATTTCCAAGTGATTCACGTTGATCGCGGGGAACGAAGCGTGAGATTAAACGTTCGAATGCCTCGGCTAAATTTTCCTTTGCCTTCGTTAGAAATTATTTCCCTTTGGATCCAATTCGTCCACGGGGATCGAACAATTTGGGGACGTGATTAATTCTGTAACAAAAATAATTTATGTATCTGGATCTGGAAGTCTACTTGTAAGTTTAAATTGTAGGAGAAAGAATTTTTTTAAAAATTAAAAAAAATTAATTTGAAATTTAAATTATTATATGTATTGTAAATTATAAATTTCGTATATAAATATATGGAATAGGAATAGGATATATTTTAAAATTTAAAAGAAAGCTGTACTAATTTTAAGAATATTTTATATAAAATATACGATACTTCGAAATTATTTAATATTAAATTCTATTTAAGACTGGAGTATTCATTCTTAAGTGTTCACTGTGACATACAACATGGATTATTTGTGAAGAGTTTTCAAAACAAATTTCTTTTTTTTTTTTTAAACATTTGCTTCTATACATCTCGCCAAACGTTATATAATCATAGGCGTATAAAATTGCAAAGGTAAAGAAAGAGCATCCGCAGCGTGATTGACATTTAACCAAGAGCGTGATATTCCCATAACACGGCCACCTTGCGAAAACTAGTATTCAAGCAGAGAGTATACGATCGAGAGGGCTTCTCGCGGGAATGACGTATCGAATTTTATGCCAACAGAACTTCCGGTGA